CATGTTACGTTTTGTTTGTTTATTTTCGATAGATTGTTTGTGCAAGGCATAGCATTAGAAAAAGGAGAAATTAGATTCTCATCCCTCATTTTGCTACTCCATTAATTAAAATCTTATTCCTTTTCAATTTTTGATCAAGGTCCTTGGGTATTAATAATATCATTAATTATTTCAGTAGTAAAATATTTTTTATTTCTAAATATATTCATTTAGTGTTAAAAATGTTACAATTAATATATTTATATTTATGGCTAAATTTTTTTATCATATATTTTTATTTTTAATTTGTACCCATTTTTAATTTGTAACCCTTTTTGAATTGGTGCCAATTTTCTTTTCAGTTTTAATTTGTACCCATATATTAATTTGTTTTTGTGCCCATATTTTTTAAAGTTTTATTTGTATTTGTACCCATATTTATTCATTTATTTGTACTCATGCTAATTATATGTACCTCAAATTTTTAATCTTAAAATGTACTCATTCTTAAATATACCAATTTGTTATATGTAAAATGTACTTTTTTTTTATTTTATATAAAATCGATTCAATTTTTTCTCTAATCAAATTTAAACTTATATGGGTACATTATTTTTTCTTTGATTTGAAAATGTATCCATATCAAGTTTAATTGAAGAAATTTACTAATGTTATTAAGCCTAATATCTTCTTCTTCTTCTTCTTTTTTTTTTTTTTTTTGGTGATTTTGAAGAATGTACCCATGTTTTGGTACAACAATTTTTTATTAATGTACCCATGTTTACACACACACACACACACACACACACAATAGTATAGTTATATTTTAATATTTTTAATCCCACAAATTATGATTTTTTTATTTAAAATCTCATTAATATAAACAACTATAAATTTCAATTTTTAATTTAAAAAAAATAGTAACATATATAGAAATAAATTATCACATTAATTTTAGGAACTTCGTTCAAAAATTGAAAACCAATAAAGTTTCAATCAAAGAATATTCATAGCTAGCGACCGCATCCAAAATCTCTCTTAGAAAAATCTTATTTTTACTCCTGTTTATAAATTATATATAAATAGGAGTAAATTCTAAATACTGTGGTTCTGAACTCTAAAATAATCAATGGTATGAAATGAAAGCAGGATTGAGCAAACGTCTGATTGTTAACAAGTGTTTCATTCCTTCCCACACCCACATGGATAGGGGCGTACTCATTAAGGGACCATGGTGTTCCTAGGACCCGTCGAAGGCGGAAAAACATTGGGAAGGTATTCTAGGACCCTTTGAATGTTTGGTATGCAACCTAGAATATCCACGAGTATTCGATTAAATGCCATGCTTAGCAAATCTCGACCCCTTTTAAATGCATATCCCATTTTTGCACAGGGTTATGAAAATCCACGAGAAGCGATTGGCTGCATTGTATGTGCCAATTGCCATTTAGCTAATAAACCGGTGGATATCAAGGTTCCGTAAACGGTACTTCCTGATATTGTATTTGAAGCAGTTGTTTAAATTCCTTATGATCTGCAATTGAAACAAGTTAACATCACTCAACAAGGCTCAAGGAGGCTTAGTATCTATCAACATGCTCACCTGGTAGTTGTTAGCATAGTCGACAGGCTCTCTTGTAAGTTGTTGGCATCTATCGACATGCACACAACATGGCTTGGTAGATCACTACAAGCCCCTTAGTTATGTGAGCTAATTTTTTTTTCTTTGAAATGCCTCACTTAAAAAGCTAAAAAATTTACGAGCTATACACTAATTTATGTTGCAACTGCACACTCCTAGATGCACGACAAGTTTGATTCTCAACATTTTCTTCCTCGGTTTGGATTCACCCCGTATACCTGAAAGTGATTTCTTTTTTCAGAAACTTGAAAGTGATTTTGGTTTGGAAAAAGATCGAAGTTTTTGTCCTACATAAACATAAAGTAAATAAAAGAGACAGAAATCAAGTACAGGGATTTACCATGAATCTAGTTTAAGGATAGGTTTTGAAAAGAGATGTGATAGACTCGATCATTAGTGGACCGTTCTAATGTTGATCTCGTAAGCAAAATCCGAATTGATTTGGGTGGAGAGTAAGATGATCAATCTTTGTAGGTTATTAGGATAATCAATAATAATCAAACCGAACCCACCCAATCACAACGATCCAAAATATAATGATTAATGAAACTTGGTTTGAATTTCCACCATAAAAAAGGATGTTACTAGAGTTTGGGACCCAACCTCCTCCAAGACCAGGATACCACCATATCGACAATCACTGCTCCTCTGTGTTTTGTCTGCCCCACAAATCCAACACCACCGTATATCCTTACGCATCAAAGATTCAAAACCACGAGCCTGGCTGCCTGTCCATTTCGTAGTGATAATACAAAGTCGAAACCCGTCGCTATTTTTTTTGGGCATTGGAATTCTTGCTCCAAAACTAAGAAAATGAAGCAACCGAGTCTTCAATGTGCTACTGCGGTGGCTTCCCGCCCCGCGCACAACCTAGGGGTAAATCCTTCAAGATGTCATTGCAATGTACGAGTAACTATTTCTTGATATTGAACTCGTAATTTACAAGATTTAAACTAAAAAATAAAACTTATAAGAGAAAAGAATACTACTAGATCGTAGTTTCATTTATTTTTCTTCTTTGATTTGTTGGTTTTGTTGTCATTTTGGACTTGACGATTTGGTTGTCTTGTAGGCGTTTCCACCTTACTAGGAAATGTATCCATTAGTTTGAACTCGGGGACCCAATTAATTAAAACAAAACTCTATTTATTGGTATAATCCATCACTTACGAAAAAGTTGTATTGATTGACATAATATCTTAAGTTGTTTGAGAGAAAATTACTTGAAAATGCCACTAATACCTTATACTTTCCTTTTGTTTATGTGGAATTGATGCCCTTATACTTTACATCATATAAAACCATGTAGAGTTTAAGTGAACTTCTCTCTTTGTGTAAAAATCCTACAACTTCTCTCTTGGTTCAAAGTTCCTGGTGATGAAATTTGATTGTGGTGCACTTTTGGCTACAGAATTGTAACTTTTGTGTTGTGATGTCTTGGTCGAATTGACCTCCTGATCGTTTTCTCCACGGTGATTGCCTCGATGGCTACTGGTAAGATGTTTGTGGTTGTGCGCTCTGCCTTTGAAAGATAAAAATTAGGGTTTTGCTTAATCTCTTTATTTTTTTTTATCTATTGGGCATGTTTAGCCTGTTCCAATTTGTTGTGGGATTTTTTTTTTTTTTGTTAAACTGGAAATTTATTATCAGGGCTAGAAGCCGAAGAACAAAGACAGCTAACAAAAGGCAGACAACGGTACAAATAAGAAGCAAGCAGGACATAAAGATTACAAGACGTTGCCATCATAGGCTAAAACGTCAGTCCTACACTTGCACTACATATACAACCTAAGAGGGGTAAGGAAGGCCATTTTTGTTCAAGATTTTCACCACCAAACATGGGGTCTATCGGTCCAAATTGATTAATGCGACGTCACAAATTTTGCTGTTGCATTTACTGATCTTGGAATCGAAGACCAGGTACCGGCCTCAAATTTGAATTTTTGTCCTATCTGTTTATTGGGCTGGTTGGCTGTGCCCAATGTAATACTTTAGTTTATTTAATGAATGTTGCTCTTTGAACAACAAAATATCAAGAAGAGTTCAAGATCAAGCTTAAGCTGAATAGGTGGATACGGAAAATATGGCAGATCTCTAAATGTAATAGTAGTTGCCAAATCATATCACAATTTTTAACAAAGAGATAATTAAAAAGAAACGAACATTTAAGCAAATGAAAAAAATTTTATGATATGAATACATTGTCAACGTCAAATATTTTACACCAATACTCATAAATGATGCAAAAATAAAATATGAAATATTATACAAGATATTATATTATTGACACACGCGGTTAAATAACGTCATATTCGTGTAAAGATATTCAAACCGAGCGTATGAATATGGCAGACCTCAATGCAGTGAACAAGAGCAATAGGTCCAAACTTCAAACCGCGGGAAAAGCAGAGAAAAAAGAAGCTGGGTGGGCCCAAGACGGTCTCATCTAATCCCCGTAGATATTATATATATGTATAGAATGGAGCGCTGCAGGCTTTGTTTTACAGTGTTTTATCAAAGCTACCGTTTTTAGTTTTTGAGTTAAAATTTAAAAATTTTTAACTTAAAAAATTTAGATTTTAATTCAAAAATAATTCTTTTGCTCTAATTTTTTTAGGTTAAATTTCTAGCAAGAGATGCGTAAAGAATGAATTTATAATATTTTTTTCTCTTAAAGTAATCTTAAAAAAAAATTATTTAGATGATTTTAATTTAATTTTATGAACATTATAGTTTAAAAATATTTAGATTCTGATATATATGGAAAAAGCACTATACCGGCACCATAAAACTCATGGAACATTATGAAAGAATATGAATTCCATAAAATATTTTTTTTAATTACTTTAGCTTTTGAATTTAAATTTGAACCGTTAGATCTGTTTTTCTACCGTTGAATTCAATAAATTTATAAATATAAAGCTAAAAAAATAAACACATATATGATGGAGCCAGCCCCCCTAACCTAGTGATATCCTGACCTAAATTTGCCTCAAAAATAAGTTTTGAGTTAGAACTCATATTTGCCCTAGAATTAGAACAAGTTAGGGAGGTTTAAAATCTAAAATTTTATTTTTAGTCTAAGATTGCAATAAATCTTAAGCCAAACAGTGAGAAGTTGTGGTTCTGGTTGTTATGGGTACATAAATAAAACATTACATATAAAAAAACTAAAGATATAAAATTGATGAATGATTAAAAATGGATAATAAGAAAAAACAAAGAAATTATGAAATAGGACTAGACAGTGGGGACTGAGAAGAGAGAGAGAGAGAGAGAGAGAGCTGAAATGGAGAAGTCTGCAAGGACTGCAAGTTCGAATTATTCTTCTTCTGTGTATGATTGCTTTTATAAATACTCGGTGCTCTTTTGGACGCATACCCATTTCCTTCCATCCAATTTCCCTCCCACTCTCTCTCTCTCTCTCCCTCTCCCTCTCCCTCTCTCTCTCTTCTGGTTTTTCTTTTTATAATAAATGGTCTTTGCTGCGTCCCCGAGGCAGTGCTGTTGGTTCAGAACACAACCCAAACCGAAGAGAGAGAGAGAGGAAGAAGCCATATTTAAAAGCAAAGAGATCAGGTCTTCAAGCCTTTTACACGTGATAAAGAAAACACCAAAAGCACTTGCATGCGTGTATAAAGATTCATCATCATCCGCATCACTCCCCCCGTCTCTACCCATCTCTCCCCATCTCTCTCTCTCTCTCTATCTCTCTCTCTCTCTATCTGAATCTGAATCCCCCACATAGCCCATCTTTTAAATCTCTCCCCTTTTGGTACCCTTTCCATCCCTTAAAACTTTCAATCCCCCAGTTTTTTTTTTTTCAATCCAAAGATCACTGCTTTAATTTGTTTCTCGAGTGACTCGGTGAGTTAATTGCTAGCTCGTTCACAGTTGCTGCTGCTGCTCAGTGAGTTTAAATGACTGGTTGGTTGTTGGTGAGTAGTCTCCAGCTTTGTTTCTTTTGGGTTTCTCTTGGACTTCGTGGGTGTATTTAATGGACTCATTATATATATATATTTATATATTTATTTTTTTTTGTTTAATTTCTGTGTGTGGCATTAAGTTGGATAGTGATTTTTCTGCCCCTTTCAATGTTTATTCCTTCCTCTTGGATATGTTCTTGATTTTTGTTTTCTTCTCAGTGTTTTTATTCTACTTCTTTTAGCAGTCACAAGGTCTCAAATCTTCCCACACAAATTTAATAGTGTTATTATATTTCCTTTCAAGCGTGTGTATATAAATGTGTGTGTGTGTGTGTATTTATAATGTATTTTCTTGTGTTTTTATCTGCTTGGGCTTATTCCTTGTTGTGTGATATTTTGACAAAATTTCAGTTTTGAGCACCAGACAGGCTCAAGACACTGGTTTTGTCTCCTGGGTTTTTCCATTTTTTCAAGTTTCTATTCACCATAATATTATTTTTATTTTATTTTATTTGTCTCAAGAGATTTCATGGCCATTGGGCTGCTCATTTGGAGGACCGCCTGGGGTTTTTGGGTAATAGTCTGTTTTGTCTGTGCATTTATGATTTTATTTTATTTTTCTGCTTGAATGTTTTTATTTAATTTGTTATATTTTATTGTTTTTATTTACTGAATAGCTCTGCAAATCACAAGTCAGAAGAAACCTGTTGCTCTTCTGGTCTCTGGGTTTTGGTATTTAGTTTTGTATGTACATGTAATTTTTAGAGGGGTCAAATTCTGCAGAACAGAGTTGAACAGGTGAAGTTTCAGTTTTTGCAAAGGAATAGTAATGCTTGTTCATTTATTTACCCCTACTGTTTTACCTTGCGTACAAGACTGATGAAATTGAAATCTCATTAATATTTTTACCGTTTATTCATAGTTTAAGAAATTTATTGAGGTCCTTTTGATCTGACATGCCATTTCTTCCTGTATGTTTTTCTTCCAGTGGAACTAGTGTTTAAATCTGTTGGAAATTGAGTGAAAAAATTAGAAGGCAAGGCATTGTGTTTTTGTGCAATCTGGTGAAAGTTTTAACCTTTTGACCAAGTGCTTCTGCAAACATGCCTATAAGAAAGAAAGAAAGCTCGGAGCAACACCTTGTGATCAAACCCCACTTGCAGAACCCAGTGAACCCAGTTCAGAAGGCACCGAAGACTGCCCAAAATGGCAAAGGTCCACCACCCCAGGAACCTCAAAACCCCAAACTCCATAACCAAACATCACCTCCAGCAAAAAACAGAGGAAGAAGAAGGGGCAGAGGCGGTCGGAAGTCAGATCAAGGTGATGTTTGTATGCGGCCGAGCTCGCGGCACTGCGCTGTGGCTCATCTACCTGCCTCACCAAGCTTGGGTGGTGCTGCTTCTCTAGCTACTAGTCCAAATAGTTATGTGGAAAATGGCGGCAACTCGGTTTCCATGGAGATGGGGTTTCCCACTTCGAGCAAGTCGTTGAGTTTTGCTCCTCGGCCTGGTTATGGACAAGTTGGGATCAAGTGTATTGTGAAGGCCAACCATTTTTTTGCAGAGTTACCAGAGAAGGACTTGAACCATTATGATGTAAGCTCCTTTGTTTGATGTTTCTGCCGTGCCATAAAAATTGGGCCCTTTAATCTGACACTCAACATGTTTATGGTGTTTTTACTTTTCATAATTTCTTTTGCATTGCAGAAGAAATTGAAAAAAGCACTGTTTTCACGGTCCTTTTCTTCTAGTGGCATTTATGAGTGTTAAATTTGAACTAAAATCTTGTTCTTAATGTCTTTTTGCCTTTTCCGGCATTGGTGATCTGACTCTTGCAGGTTAGCATAACTCCCGAAGTTGCATCGAGAGCTTTGAACAGAGCTATCATGGCAGAACTGGTGAGGTTGTACAAGGAATCTGACTTAGGAATGAGACTACCTGCTTATGATGGTAGAAAGAGTCTGTACACTGCTGGTGAGCTGCCCTTTGCTTGGAAGGAGTTCAATATTAAGCTTGTTGATGAACCGGATGGAAACAATGGCCGAAAGTAAGGACATCGCCTCCTGTTTTCCTTCCGTTTCCGTGTAGACTCTTATATATTGACTTGAATTATAATAATACCTAACACGAACTGGAAACAATAAAGTTTAAGAAATTTCCAATGGTCTTGTTTTGTTTTCTATATGAGCAATTGGAATTTGTGGTTATAATCTCCAAATGGAACTAATTTCCGATTACCCAATATTTCAGAAGAGAAAGAGAATATAAAGTGGTAATTAAATTTGTTGCACGAGCAAACATGCATCATCTGGGCCAGTTTCTGGCTGGTAAGTGTGCTGATGCTCCACAGGAAGCGCTCCAAATTCTTGACATTGTATTAAGAGAGCTCTCAAACAAGAGGTATTAATTTATTACCCAACTGTAAATGCACTATGTTCTGTGGGTGCTGAGATTGATTTTATTATTAATTTGACCCGGTCTTCATTTGGTTTGGTAAAGGTACTGCCCCATTGGGAGATCCTTCTTTTCACCCGATATCAGAACACCACAACGGCTTGGTGAGGGGTTGGAATCGTGGTGCGGGTTTTACCAAAGTATAAGACCTACCCAAATGGGGCTTTCCCTCAATATTGGTTAGTAACTTAAAGTTATTTGAATTTCGAAAGGAACGCACTTATGGTTTGTGTCAATCTCATATGATCTCTCACATACTTTGTTTTTATTGTTTCTCTATTGTCACATTTGCAGATATGGCTTCTAGCTGCGTTTATTGAGCCTCTCCCTGTAATAGAGTTTGTAGCCCAGCTTCTAGGCAAAGATGTATTGTCTAGAACATTGTCTGATGCTGACCGTGTAAAGGTACTTGATTCTTAGATTTTTGGTGCGACATGTTTCTGTTCCCATAGTATTGAATTTAATCTAGAGCGTTAATTTAAATGTCTACCAGATTAAAAAGGCTCTTAGAGGTGTGAAAGTTGAAGTTACACACAGAGGGAGTGTTCGAAGAAAGTATCGAGTTTCAGGATTGACATCTCAACCTACAAGAGAACTAGTGTAAGTTTGAAGTAGCTCTTACACTCTATTTCCCATTTCCATATTAAATCTTTCCTTTTCCGAGGATACTCCCCCACACCCCTTCCATCTTCAGGAAGCAAGGCCAGAAGCTGTAATTTCTTTTCTTGATCGATTTTTACTAGTGTTCTATTTGCTGATGCTATGTCTGTTTAGGTTTCCTGTTGATGAGAACTTGACCATGAAGTCCGTAATTGAATACTTCCAAGAGATGTATGGATTCACCATTCAACACGGGCATCTTCCTTGCCTTCAAGTTGGTAATCAGAAGAAGGCAAACTATTTACCCATGGAGGCGAGTAATTGTCCTTAAAAACTTCTCATCTTCCCGGTGATTATTTAATTACAATTTCTTTTTCATAATTCTTATGTGGAACTTACACGCTCTAATCTTTTTCAGGCCTGCAAAATTGTTGAGGGGCAACGGTATACAAAGAGGTTGAATGAGAAGCAAATTACTGCTCTCTTAAAGGTTACATGTCAAAGACCTAGGGATCGTGAAAATGACATCCTGCAGGTGATTTATTTTTTATTTTTTATTTTTTTATATTTTAACATGGTTAAATGCTTTCTCTCTCCTGACTTTCTTCCCAAGGAAATACAGATTTCCTATATCAGTGGGGGTTTTCAGGAGAGAAAAATAATAGTGAAATTGGCTGATAGTTTGATGTAATGACCAACTTGGGAAATGGTGAAAAAGTACATATACGAAATATATTATCTGTTAACGCTATTTTTTTCCTTTTGAAATTAAAATGCTATCAGACTGTTCAACACAACGCTTATGACCAAGATCCTTATGCGAAGGAGTTTGGAATCAAAATCAGTGAAAAACTAGCTTCAGTCGAAGCTCGAATTCTTCCTGCTCCTTGGGTAATGCTTCCCCTCAATTTTTTTCTTTGAAAAGTTTGTTTCAGTATAGGGTAGTGCTATCCACACCTATTTTACTTCTCACACCCTTCTCAATTTTTGGCCATTGGATTGAATGAATTGAAGATCAGTGGCCAACAATTAACAAGGGTGTGTGAGAGGTAAAAATGAGTGTGTGAATAACATTTTCCTTGGTATATATTCTCATTTTTTGTAGCAAGTTTGGAAAATATATGTTGACCATCTCAAGGAACCCTTTCCTGCAGCTGAAGTATCATGAAACTGGAAAAGAAAAGAATTGTTTGCCTCAAGTTGGTCAGTGGAATATGATGAACAAGGTACCACACTTGTCAACTGCAATCTTGTTTTGCTAATTGTCATAAATTTCTAGATTACCTTTCTGATTTTGTAAATGTAATAACTCCATTTTTAGTATGTATAAGTGAGTCAAATTGGCCATTGAACCATCATGGTAATAACAGTTCCAATAGATAATCAATTCAACATGTACAACCTATCACCCCTGATATTGTAGTACAATCTACACTACCGTGTTTAAAAATTTTCATTTTATAATTTCCTCCAAGATCTGTTAAGGTGTTGCAAGGTTTTTATCAGTCATAACGTCTTCGTTCTATGGTTCTACTACTAATACTTTGGCTGCCTGTCTTCTTGTAATGCAGAAAATGATTAATGGAATGACTGTCAGTCGGTGGGCTTGTATTAATTTTTCACGGGGAGTGCAAGAGAGTGTCGCACGTGGATTTTGCAGTGAACTTGCTCAAATGTGTCAAGTATCTGGCATGGTATTATTTCTGCCAATTTTTATGTAAAGTGTTTTGTCTTATGTCATTTCTGCATGTTTTCATAATTTGGGATATAAATGTATTTTGCTATTCTGTAGGAATTTAATTCAGAACCTGTAATTCCAATCTACAATGCGAGGCCTGAACAAGTAGAGAAAGCTTTGAAGCATGTCTATCATGCGTCCATGAACAAGACCAAAGGAAAAGATTTAGAGCTCCTATTGGCCATTTTGCCTGACAACAACGGGTCCCTGTATGGTATGTCATACGTGCCTGTGATTTCACTTAGAATATTGCATTAATATTTGACCTTGATATACTTAAAAATAAGCTTTATACGTGAGATTTGATCTGGAATTGTATATGTAGTTCTAATCTGATTCTGCTATTGTAGGTGATATCAAGCGAATATGTGAAACAGATCTCGGTTTAATATCACAATGCTGTCTCACAAAGTATGTTTTCAAGATCAGCAAACAGTACTTGGCTAATGTCTCCCTAAAGATAAATGTTAAGGTTTGTCCAATTCCAGAGTCTTGCATAATACTACGGTAACCGTGAATGAGCTTATTTTACAATATATGACTTGAGACAAAGTTGTTGAGAATGAGAGCATCTTTTTCTTTCTGTATGTTTTTACATTTTTATGGTAAAGATAATGGCCTCTTTTGTGATCATTGTAAACCTAGTCTCTTCACCCCCTATAATTACTGGATCCTGATGATTTTGGGACACATCCATGGTGCAGATGGGTGGCAGAAACACTGTTCTCTTGGATGCTATCAGCTGCAGGATACCTTTGGTCAGTGATATACCAACCATAATCTTTGGAGCAGATGTGACTCACCCTGAGAATGGAGAAGATTCCAGCCCCTCAATTGCTGCTGTAAAATCCTTTATTACATAGAAATTCTTTTGGCAATATGTGTTGAAACCTTTATTGCTAATGGTGTTTGTACTTATCCAGGTGGTAGCGTCCCAGGACTGGCCCGAAGTGACCAAATATGCTGGATTAGTTTGTGCTCAAGCTCACAGACAGGAACTCATACAGGATTTGTATAAAACATGGCAAGACCCTGTTCGTGGCACAGTCAGTGGTGGCATGATTCGGTACGAGAACTCTAGCCAATTCTTTTCTTAATCTTGAGTGCATTCTTCCCCTACTAATGGAAATCCAATTTGGTCCTTGGATCTTCTGCTTGCATATAATGCTCTCCATGCGTAGGTTCTAACACTCTTATCTTTAACGTTATTCTGTTTGTCCAGGGATCTTCTGGTTTCATTTAGGAAGGCAACAGGACAGAAGCCCCTAAGGATTATATTTTACAGGTAAATGTTTGTATTCCTAGTGCCAGTGTTTGTAACAAACAGTTTGATTATCTGTCTGCATTGTTTTTCCTTTGTGACATGTTCTTAAATTGGATGGAAATAATTCTGATCAGGGATGGTGTAAGTGAAGGTCAATTTTACCAAGTCTTACTTTATGAGCTCGATGCAATCCGGAAGGTGAGAATTGAAATATTTTATTTCATTATGGCTGGTATCAATATATTGGAGATCAATGGAAATTACATTGATAAGTAATCTTCATACAGGCATGCGCTTCTCTGGAACCCAACTATCAACCCCCAGTGACTTTCATTGTGGTTCAAAAACGGCACCACACTCGATTATTTGCTAATAACCATAGGGACAGGAGCAGCATAGACAAGAGTGGGAACATATTACCTGGTAAAGTTAACCTATCTGGGAAACTTACATCTGTCCGTCATGTTGCACCTTCTTGACTAATACAAAGTGTTTTTTGTTCTAATGTTTTATCATTTTACTGTTTTCAGGTACCGTGGTTGATACTAAGATTTGTCATCCAACCGAACATGATTTTTATCTCTGCAGTCATGCTGGTATTCAGGTAGAAAATTGTATTCACTTTTCATCTTTGCAGTTCTGCCCTGGAACTGGAAGCCTGGAAAAATTAAATATATCTCTGGATCTCTTTGAAACCATATTCCAGAAAATCTGAACCAATCATGTTCCAAAAAAATCGCTTTTTGTTAAGATCTTATAATTTCAAATAACATATGGGTGTAACCGCATAGAATCTTTTAAACAAATTTTAGTTGCATTTTCCATTTATAATGCTTTGTAAATTTTACAGTCTTTGACAGTTGAATGTATCATGTATGCATATTTTTCTTATATTGGCAGGGGACAAGTCGCCCAGCTCACTACCATGTTCTTTGGGATGAGAATAATTTTACTGCTGATGGAATCCAATCATTGACAAATAACCTGTGTTACACATATGCAAGGTGCACACGCTCTGTCTCTGTTGGTAAGTAATTGTTCTTCCATGTGACGTAGCCGAATAATTTTCTGCTCATGCATAATCAATTCTGCTATAAAGCCATGCTCTAGGTGAAAAAGGTTTTGAATTATCTGCTATGTCCTTTTGCAGTACCTCCGGCATACTATGCGCATTTGGCTGCTTTCCGTGCTCGATTCTATCTGGAGCCAGATATGCAAGAGAATGGCTCTACTGGTCACACTGCTAAGGGTACACGCGCTGCTGGCGAGTCTGGAGTCCGACCATTACCAGCCTTGAAGGAGAATGTAAAGAGAGTAATGTTTTATTGTTAGAAGTGGAAGAGGGTCGATGGTTTGTTCACTGTTAATTTTCCTTCCTCACATACAAACCTTTTATGCGGGTTCAAGGTCTTCCGGTTTAACTAGCGGCGGAGGGGAGAATAGAGAGGGTGTTTCTGAGTTTAGATCAGTATTTATAGTGTTAAGAGAGTTATTCCTTGATCACCATAGATAGCAGGTCCTTGTTCACTGCAGTGTAGGCCCACTTATGGGGAGTTCATCAGTTGTAGGCTCTGTAAAGAAATGTTAATTAATGAATCTAATTTACATCTAGGAAATTTTTACGTCAGGTTTCAAAAATGCTTGTCAAACTATCAGTTGGCAGTTTTTTTAGAAGTATATATTTCAGCATGAAAGATAAGAATTGCAAGTTACTACCTGCAATTACTTCTGCAAATCACCAGTTAGTTCTCAACCCAATAAGCCGTTCTAACATCGAACCTACAAATAAGAAACAATTCTCCAGTGGGTTCTTAAATAATCGTTAGAAAGAAACTGTTAAAAAAAGTGTGGAGTACCCGATACTTTGGACTGCCATAGGAAATCCCGATAAGAAACGCATATTGCCAAAGTTAATTGTTTTGATTTTTTTTCTTGGGAAATTCATCAAATGATCATTTTTTAAAGTATAATTTTATTTGAATTTATATAATTTCTTTCTATATCCAACTTACTCTTAATACTCATATTATTTTTAAGGAAACTTTAACGAAAAGCTTCTGGTACTGTTCATTTTAACGAAAAACCACATTTTCAGACTAAAAAGTCAATCATGGTATTGTTCACTTTATCCTTTATTTTGTTCTTATTGTTAAAACTCAAAGTTTTCAAGTCATTTTCATTAGTTTTTCTTATTTTTAAAGAGATTTTGCACAAGTACTATTTGAACTTGCAAGCATGTGCGCCACCTAAACTTTTAATCTTTATTTTTTACCACTTGAACTCTCTAAATTGTTAGAATCTACCACCTACATTATTTTCCATCCATTTTGCCATTAAATCATGTCATGCACCTCTCACGTGGAGGGATATTTTTGTCAATTCACTTCCTAGGGCTTATCGGAATCAATTTGTACAAAGGCAAAAGACATTTTCTCTACAGCGGCGTTGAAGTTAGGTCAGAAGAGAAATGTAGAAGTTGAGTTTGGGTTTGATTTTGGCAAGGGTTGTTGAAGTGAAAATTATGCAAAAATATAGTATTTCATTTACAGTGAGTATTCAAGATTTTATTTTTTTGTAGGTCAGCAAGTGAGTGTGTGATTCACCTTAATTTATTCAAATATTAATTTTTCAAATTCTTATGGAGGGAATTGCTGAACTAGGGCGGTACAAACTCCTAATTTTGGCATCATATTGACTTAGGCTGTATTATTTTGGAGCTAATTTGTATCTTAGTCAGCCCCATGAAGTTAATTGACGAAAATATTCCTATAGGTGACATATTTTAGCGGCAAAATGGATGGAAAGTAAAGTAGATGATAGATTCCAATAATGAAGAGAGTTCAGATAGTAAAAAATAAAAATTGAAAGTTCAGATGGTATAAGCCCACATGCTTACAATTCAAGTAGTACTTGCCCAAAAAAAACCCCTACTTTTAATTAAAGAATTAATATTTCTTTAAATCTAAATTTACTACTTAAACTACCCTTACAAAATTAATTCAAAATATAAATTTATCTTTATAACCCATTTAAACTATAAATTCCAAATTGAATAGTTCGGTGAAGATTTTACTTGAAAGCTAATAGATAAGAAGAAAGAACTTGGACTTCTCGAGCTTCTTGATCACCTCACATTAGGGGTTTGCTATTACAAGCTGATAGATTAGAAGAAAGAATAAAACTAAACACATGATCAAACAAATTTTGGAACTATATCAAACAATATTAGTCTACCATAATATCATACCTTGAGACCCTTTCTATCAACATTTTTTCTGGACCTCTTCAAGCATTGTGATCCCGCTCGTATCGATGCTTCCAACAACTGTAATTTGATTTTAATTTTAGCATTAGACTCTCTCAATAAAGCTTAATGCCAGAGATCGTAAAAGTTAATTTTTGACTGTTGCAGATTGATCACTTATTGCCATTGTCTAGCATAACATAGTATAAGCTTGTTTCTCCAGAAGATTTTATTGTCTTTCTCCTCATATATCCACCTTGATATCCTATGAACCAGGTTTTAGCCGGAATAAACGTAGGATAAACATTGCGTGATGGTAGAGTTTAGTTATTGTGTGTTTAAAGATAAATTATAGTTTTATTGTTAATTTCATCTTGTACTTGATGGTAATTATGCAATAGGGTAAAAAAGACAATTCATATTTAAAGTTTAAAAATTGAGTATAGAAAGAGGTTATATGAATTCAAATAAAATTTCTTATTTTTAAATTTGAATCATTGAAATGATCAATTAGTCTGTTGATATTCTATCGCTCTGTCGATATTTAATCATTTCAACCATTTTGGATCCATTGTGAAGGATCAGGATCCTCTCTTGAGCAAATGGAGAGGATCCTCCTAACCGGGCCCATCGGGCAGTTCCAAAATTTATCTAACGGCTATAAACGGAGGGCTCTACTAAAAATTATAATAATTGTAACCGTTGGATACAATTTGAACGGCCTGATGAACCCGGTCAGGAGGATCCTCTTCATTTGCTTAGGAGAGGATCTTGATCCCATTGTGAAAGCCAAATTAAAGCTTCTGAATGGCAACATGATCCTTGGGCTGCAAGTGTAGTCCCTCATTTTCGAGTAATAATATTTCATTTGTTCATATATTTGGACCAACTAGGAACTGAATTGACTTTTGACAATTAAAATACTATCATGTTAGCTCACCACATAATTTTGGGATTAAACAATATATCTTATCAATTAGAGAAAAAAAAAAAAAATATATATATATATATATAAATATATATTATAACATTAAAGTGAAAAAATGGGGGAAAAATATTTTGAACCCAAAATCTCTTGGAAATAACTTTTTATATTAGAAAACCACAAAATTTCAAATGAAATTATTTACAAACTTCTGAGTAAAAATGGAAGCTGAGGGGCACTATCATGTAGTGTTTCTCCAGTTTTGTTTTTAATTAAAAATGATAAACGATTCTATCTGTGTGTATTTAGCATAACGGTTAAAAATGCTTGGAAATGAAAAATTATGTAGTCAAACCAACACCAGCATTTTCTTAGAAAGGAAAAGGCAAATGAAAAACAATTTTTCTTTTACTAAACTCAAAAATTCAAAAGAAGTTTTACACTTGCACTGTTAGTAGGTACTGTACGTTAAAGTGATAGCTAAGCTAATAAACAAACAAGGGTAAAAAAAATAAAAAGGGTGAAAGGTTAATTGATAAATATAAACTAGGGTGACAACAAGGGACCAAATATAAATTAGAGTGCAAATTCTATTTCCTGCCACAATCAAATTACAGAAATTTTATGAAGTGTGAATGTTTTGTTAAATCCAAGGATCTTAATTGATGAATTTTTAGTTTAGAGACCGAATATAAACTACGGTGAAAATTCAAAGACAAATTCTAAATTTTACTATTTTATCACACGAGAGCCTAGTTGTTGTAATGTTGTTAGAGAGAAACTGAGAACCTAGTAGTGGTGAGAAAAAGATGCCAAGGTGAAGGATATCCCAAGTCTTTGATCAATGGCAAATGTAGGGTTTATATCAGGCAGCCACAATCTTAAGGTAAAGGATTGTGTTCTCAATCTGCGACTATTGCTCTATATCTTCTAAAGGGGTTGTGATTGAAGAGGGGGCCAAGATATCTTCGAGTCTATGAATAGCTCTTCCTTGCTGATCACACTGTGTGTTTTAACGTTTCTATATGACACCACATTGACATGTATAATCTTTGTGATACTGTTGTATTAACATCCTTGCGTATATGATCTTTTGTATTATTGTGCCAGTATGAAATATCATTTTTGGTTATGCGACACTCGTATTCACCATCTTATGCTGATAATTTGTATTAAGTATCTATATGATTTCTAGTAGAAGCAAATTTCTAAATACATATCAAAGGATGGATCATGGATGTGACTTGGCTGCTAATATTGGATGAAATGCAATAATGATTCCCACTTTCAAGTTAATATTTTTTAATGTAAAATTAGCTTGCAAAATTCATATTGTGTCAGGTACAGTGGTAGTTTTGTACACCTAGTCATCTTTTTGTTATGTGAGATGATTCATCCAACCACTACTGTAGAGATTTTGGCGTCCTCTACACTTATAACCCTATGATGCTCCCACATTTTTCCCATTTCCGATTCTACTTCTTATACTGGCAATTAACCTCTTTGGATTCTTTCCTCCGTCGGTCATGTTATAAGATATTAATCTTCTCACAAGCAGATGAGTTCACAATAATGTACACCAATGCATGTTAGACTATGTAAAATTATCACATATCACACAATTAAGGCGCCGAGATTAATTAATTGGTGTAATAATTATTTTATTGCATGCCCATCTGAATTCTGAAGCAAGCTGCTGTGCTGGGCACATTATAACCATTGTCATCGTCCATCTCATATGACCTCATATTTAACTAACGCCCTTCTCATGAGTGGTTAATGACAAATGAGGAGTCTGGAAAGAGTTGGGAGAATCAAACAAGTGAAGCTTTAGATTATTTGGTTCTCCAGGGAAATCTGAAAACTCCATGGAATCTTTTCCATTTGTACATTCTACCAAAAGAGAGGGCCCAAAGTCCAACAAGCAGCATACGGAGAAACTCTTGAGAGAGAGAGAGAGAGAGAGAGAGAGAGAGAGAGAGAGTTACATTATTTACTATGCAACCAAGGGGAAGGGGGGTTGGTTCACATGGGGTCGCAGTTGAGAAATTACATCATCAATTGCCATCCCATTGTCCACTTAGGAAGATACAGCCAATCACAGGTTATCGACTGAGAAATGAAATTTGCCAGAACTGATCTTTGTGTCTAGTTTGTATGTAATGGAATGACTAATATAAAATACTTACTTTCAATTTGAATCCAGGTGGTGGAGAGAAACTTACATGACATGGATACACTACTATTGTGACGTCTAGTTTCAATAATACAATGTCACATGGAGAGAAATTTTCCTGTCGTTCTATTATTGACACAGGGCGGCAGAGTACCTGTGCCATGTACATGCTCCTGAGGTCTCATGCTTGTGGCTGCATATTCTGTTTCTCATGAGCACTAAAACTGCAGCCTGTACTCAAGAGTTGGCTGAAATATAGCCAGCATAGAAAAAAATCTGACT